CCTCCGATGGCCTCCAACCTAGTAGCAATGGCCTCCACCCTAGTAGCTCAAATACATCTACGACTCTACGATATGAACAAATGTGCCAACTGGATCCAACTGGCCTGTATTCTGTCGTCGCCTTCACGTCCGGAGCTTGGGGAACTGATCCTCAAAGATCTGTGCAAAACAATCAATTGCAAGCAACTTCACTCGGAAGAGCATAACATACACAGTACCAGTCATTGGTCTCTGTCCGGCTCGTTTGCCACTCTTTTTGCAAAAATCTGCAGAATCCATTCCACTTGTCCAGACCGGGCACATTGAGGAATTATCTGACCAAGCCTGCGGCGTAACATCAAAGAAAGGCACGGAGGAAGCGAATGAACCATGAAGAGAACAAAAGAGTTGTGAAGCATCTGCAAGTTATACTAGTAAGGCAACTTGCTACTAGTAGCAAATAGATACTAGTAGCAAGGTGTACTGTGTACTAGTAGTAACAAGCTACTAGTAGTAAGGCACCTTGCTACTAGTATTTTGCTTTGCGAGCTCATCCTTGGGTGCCTGTGCATTCGACACATCATCAGAAATTTGGTCAGCATTCGGACCTGACCAATCCAACAAGTCCAAAACCAGCATGAAGAAAGCAGCGTGAGGTGGGACCGACTGGCCCGGGTGGACCCCTTCAAAATGAATCAGCTTGAAGAAGCCACAAGTACATCCAGTCTAAGCCAGTCACAAAATTATGCTACTTTTGTGCCATTCTGTTATCATCGAAACGAGCAGTCCACCAGCTTGAACCTTTGTTTGGTTTTTAAACCCTGATAATGTCAAAGGAATCCCCAAAAGGACAACGCATTTGAGAACAAATTCTATGCCTAAACTTGTCTGAACGCAAGCTCTATATATACATTCTTGAAGCTTTAGGCCTTGGTCTTTCTTACCCCCTACTACCTTCAACAACAAACATCGTCCATGATCAGTGCGCAGGTGAAGCAAAAACAAAGAAATCAATATCATTTACACCATGTTCCTCAACAATAGGAATCAACAAAATCCAAGTACAAAATCAAAAGCAAACCACCATCTTGTAGGCTGCTGTCGAATGTGCAAACAGGATCTCATTTGCTCCTTTGTGCTGAGCTGTGCCTGCTCGGAGATGATTGAAATTCCAGGGAGGTGTATTCTACCTACGATATAGCCCATTACCAGTAACAGTGGATGATAATGGTTAGTAAAGGTCTTTCTCAAAAATCGTGATCATCTTTACCGACTGTTACTGGTAATGGGCTACATCCTAGTTATACCCATGTATACTTGCAAACTCTCACACACATGTTTGTCCAGTCCCTCGCTTCATGACGGGGGTGTCCCTCTCTAATTCACAGCACCAAGGCATCTTTAGTCCTGCCTGACTTGATCGTTGGCGGTGCTGAGAGACTGCGGCTGCGGCCTGCGCAAGAATTCGGCATATCTGCATAAATAGCTTCAGCTGCCCAAAGTGACAGCTGCCTGTACGTTGCTCTGTAGCAGGGATCTCTTCCACATGGACAAATGTCTTCTTCACAAGCACCGGCACGATGGTGGCATCCTCAAAATGATCTGATTGCCAGTATGCCGTATGCCAGTATGCCAGCTCAATCACTTCTCGAATAGACTTGCTCTTTAGAACCCAAGTCAAGGCTCTGGACTGGCCCGGAATTCAAAAAGAATGGTGTCATCCTTTCTACCTGCCCGCTGCTCCAAGGGAGAGAGAAATGCATTGTTGAAACAGCGTCTTTCATTGGCCAATCATTTCCCGAAGATTTTTAAACTCTGAATTGGTGCAACCAACAACGATCGTTACTAGCCTGATGGGGTCATCCCTCAAGTTGCAGCCTTGGGAGCCCTCTCTTGCTGCTCGGTTCCTTGCTGCTATTAAAATCGCTTTAGCCGTTTCTTTTGTCCTTTTTTTCATCCTCTATTTCTTCTGCTTGAGTTTCACACATCGATTTTCTGGCTGCTGAATTCTCATCATTGAGAAATTGAGATCGGTACTGAGATTGTCTCGCGAGGAACCCCCCTCGCACTGACAGTCTGACACTGCTGGGAGCTTTCTCCGTTGAGCCGCAAGATCTTTCCTGTTAGAGTTTGCCCAGAGTTGGAACAGGCATGGACAAAGTGTTGGCAAGGCGAGACTTGCAGTTTGTTATCTTTTCACAGCCCTTTTCAATTTGCGTTGGCGGAATTTGCCCTGAGGGCTTCAGGGCCGAAAAGCTTCCACATTAGCTAGCCTTCAAGTCTCAACGTCTTATCAAGACTGCGCGAATTTGCGGCTTGGAACAGCAACATGAATTCTAATTTGCTCGAACACATTGCACCTCTTTATGTTCAAAGATTTCTGACAGTCAAAGATCAGGAGTTTGTCCACGTGATCCAATCGCTGCGGCATCTCAATGCCGGATCTGCTTCAACCACGACGGCAGATTCATGGAATCCTGCGGCAAGCATGCTGGGGAAGGAAAGCCCCTAGTAATCGAACCACATGCCGCTAGTGAACTTCACCACCCTGTCTGTCCAAAGCCTCGATACTGGCGATGGTCTTGGAAATCGTCTCTGCCACACTCTGCCTGAATGTTGAGAAGCAAAGAAACAAACACCACAAACATGTTCCGGAACAAGCGTGATCTTGCATATTCTCACTTTGCAGTGATATCTTGGAGAGTCCAGACCGATGGTGGATCTTGATTGCTATTATGAAAGTCAATTATCTACAACAAGTTGCTGTGAAATGGCTCCTAATTTTCAGCGTTTGATGGTAATTATGGAACAAACAATTCTTGTCCTCCCACTTCCTTGAGTCTTCAGCTCCTAAGTGAAATTTTGAGTCTATCCTTGAATCTACAATTCTTTCTTAATGTCATATCCAAAAACCCAGAATAGATCCATATATTTCAAATCCAAGTGGGTGACTCACAAGCAATGTTGTGGAAATTGATCCATATATATATATAAACGGCTTTAATATGCTTTAATATGGCTTTAGGGTATCGTATTGTATCATCTATGCTTGCCTCTCTTTGGATTGGGATTTGTGTCGATTTCCTTTTGTTCCCAAAGCAAATGCCGTTTGTTCAACACGGAGGTGTCAAGAAGCACACAGCAAAACAAAATCCATCTGCTTTCGTATCGCTTCTCTTGCTTTGCACTTGGACGAGTTTCCGGCAAGACCGAATCACACCTTCTTCATTTTTGATCCTCTCGTACGCGCGGTTTTGTTGCTACCCTGTGTGGACCCACAGCAACCTTCGTTCTCATGTGGCAGACAAGACACGAAGGCGCACTTGGCCTGGGCATTTGCTTCATCTCTAGTTGCACCCATGATCACCGAGAGTCTCTTCTGCACCACACTGAATCCTTGTTTATCATTGTTTCGAGTGGCCCATTGAGGCTTGGTGCTGGTCCAGGTGCGGGTGACCTTGGCTCTCTCGTGGTGATTCCGATCCATCGCTCTTGGGTTGGAGGCCATGGCTATTAGATGCTATTAGACTAAAGGTCCGATCCTTTCCACAGCTTTAGTTAGTAAAGATCCGTGCCTCACTGCCTCACCAAATAACATTCTGCCCATTCCGCTTTTCGCATCTTCCGCATCCCAAGAGCACACCATCTGAACATGAGGCCCATGCTCAATGCTCACATCTCGAAGGCTGTTGGCATGAACCTCACACTCAGCCATTGCACTCATGTCATCTCGTGTTCTTGTCATGTCATTCAATTCTGTCCCAAATATTGTTAAGATATGTCACATGTTATATAAGATTATCAAGCATCTTGAGAACGTTGGTTCCTTCGGCAATGTTGCAGCAAAGCCTTGTGAAGGTTCAGCATCGTTGGTTGGTGTGCCTTTGGTACGTAGCCAATTTGAGGACTGATACACTCAAAGAATACAACCCTAAGCGTACCTCAGCAACTGCAACAAAACGTGAGGTGAGCGCTCAATTGTCTACTGTTGCTAAGTCCATGGCATTTGGCAGCTCTCCCACTTGAGAAGCTGCGGACGTTTCTCCGTCACCTTTGAACTCTGTACAAGTTGAAAGTAGCAGCCACTGTGGTGGCACCGGTTTCAAAACACTCCATGTCTTTCCTAGTTCTGTGTCTTCAACAATGACATTCACGTGTCACCCTGACAAGGAATATTGTTTCACCACGGGTTACATGCCCAAGCTAATGCTGGGCGAAAGGCCATGGCTGTGCACATCCGGAGCCTCCGGCACTTTTCATTTTCTGGAAAGCTAAAGCACTAGCTAAAGCAAGAGCATGGCCTCCAACCTACTAGCAATGGCCTCCAACCTACTAGCAATGGCCTCCAACCTAATAGCAATGGCCTCCAACCTAATGGCAACGGCCTCCACCTAAGATTAAAGCACTAGCTAAAGCAGCTGCAACTGAAGCAACAGCAGATTGTGCCCGAGCAAAAGGTCTGGTGAACCGCACCTGTGCCACTGATGCCACCAAGGTCTGGGCAGAAACACAAAGCACTTCCAGATGCGTCACAACTGCAACTCGCCAGAATCCCCCTGCTGCATGTCCTTGCACTTTTTGCATGGCAGTGTTGCACAATGGTGTGACAGGGAATGTTGTTACCCTGGCCTTGTCCAAGTTCCAATGCAATCCTACCTGCAAGAATATTGTCGCTGATTCAGCTTGAACAAATAAGAACGCTTTCTTCACCCTGCAGTTGGATGCTTAGTTTGCCACCAATCATTAGCGTGAGATATCTTGCATCCAGTTACTAGGAGCTTACTCCCTTACCCAATGCAGTAGGCGCCAAGTAGGAGCGGGCAACAAGAAAGCTACTTGAAGCAATTCTTTCCTTAATGTTCTTTATAGTTCCGTACCCATTTAAATCGATCGTTGTTGAATGTTGAATGATGTTGAATGGATGTCCGAAGGAAGCTCCAGCCATCTGCTCTATATTAGTCCAACATGCTTGCTGCTACATCCTTAAGCCTTTGTTTGAGCATATTCCAGCTGCTTGCCAGCCCAGCCCGCCTCAGCGATTGGTCCATATCTGCAATTCAGCGGTTTGAAAGAAAACAAGTTTGCTCAGCTGCTTCTCTTCAGCACTTTTGGGAAGAGTCTGCAGTGTTTCAATTGCCTCTCAGCGTAGACACGCAAAGCAGACTGCAAGCGCAAATAGTCATGGGCCTCGTTCCACGAGACACATCACGAAGACTGGCCACACTTTCCAAACTTTAAGCAAGGTCATCTACAAAGCCTCCGAAGCACACAAAAGAAATTGGGATTTGGAAAAAGAAGAACAAAAGCACAAATAGAAAGAGACAAATTGAACTAGAAAGCAATGAAAGAGACAAAAAAGAGCTGTGCGGATCTGTGGCTCTTTGCCAAGCTCGCTGTCAGTACAGACTGCACAGCTCTTTGGGATCCACCAGGTCGTAGAAGCCTAAAATTTAAAACATCGTATATGCTTACAGAGCTTACAGAAGTGAAACGATGGCATACTTCAATTGAAACAGAATCAGAATGGACATTACAAACTCGTAGTAAAATCGACTCAGAATGGACTGCAAGTTGAGCAATTCGATTCGGAATTGAGCACGATGGCTCATGGAGGCGTCGATTTTCACTCTGTCACCTCGTCAACTTTATCGCTGGGCTCGGCCGCATTCAGCTGACATTGCACCAGCTGGAAATAAGAGCCCCCTCGTTTCAGCAAATCCTCATGTCGCCCTTCTTCCACAACCTGTCCAGCTTTTACAAGCACGGTAGGAAGGCGGGAATATCTTCTTAAGGTGTTTCTATTCAAAGCTTTACGAAGCTTCCACAGAGAAGGTGGAATCGATCGTATCAGTCGCTCCCTTGGCTCACCTGACCACCTTTGATCACACAAATCTTGTGGCTGTTCTTGACAGTGCTGAGCCGGTGGGCTATGATCACCACAGTCATGCAGCCTTCGGACAGCAAGTCAACTGAATCGCTCCATTGCCTCTTTGCATTTCTACACGTTGTGAACATTGAGGTGCTTCATGCAATTCTGGCCTTCTTTAATCATTCCGTCAATAGCACGCTGGACCTGGTAGAGTCCAGAGTTATTAATGCTTACAGAATAAAAGAAGGCATGCAATCAGCATAGCAGCATAGCATGCGATCACATCGATGAAGGTTTCTTAAAGTCTTTAGGCTTTAGGGTCTAACATGGTTTAACAGCTGTATGTCTCAAATCAGTAATGTGAAGAACCCTTACAGTAGCTTTTCTCCGTCATGCCTGGCACCCCACGACACCTACCTCTCTGGCCTACTTACTCACTACTCAATGTCCGGAAAAAGGAGCATCAAGGTCTGCATGTAAAGATATCCACCTGCCTGAGACTCAGATTCAGCGTCCAACGCGCTGGTTGCCTCATCTAGGAGCAGCACCTGCACGACTCAGTTTTTTGAGCACCATTTTCCACAGGTTTTGGTCCAACCAGCTCTGAGACTAAGCACATCTGAGCATGTTAAAACCAACTGTTTCATGTCTACGTAGATCTACGTAGTCTGTTCTCACAAACCGAAGCACTGTCGAACCAATGCGTATGCAACATCATGCAACTATATATATATATAACTACTACTGAGTATGTCAGTATGTCTCTCACGTGCGTTGATGTTGCCAAAAACACGCAAGGCCGCGAGCCTTTGGCCGCCTCGCCAACGCACGGGCAATAGCAATTCTTTGCTTTTGCCCTGCGAGCAAGTCTTGCATCGAGCTTCATTCTCATTAGATTCTTCTTTGTGAAATGGGGCGGAAGCCCAGGGCTCTGACGATCCGCCCGTTTTGTTCACCTTCTTTGCCAGTTTCCCATAAATCCGAGGCCTTCTGCGTGCGTTCCGTCGGCGGCCTACGGCGGCCTATGGCACCCCGCCCTAGAGTCGGCCTCCTGAAAGCTGAACACCTCGTTCCCCAACTTTTGCATCATAGCCTGTCATTCGATACATCTCGAATAGCAGGCTAGACAATATCTTGGCCAGAAAAGTTCCAAGTTCTTCCGCAGGTTTCCTGAAACATTCAAGGTTCACCAGCAGCATTCAGGATTTCAGCCAAGTTGTTACACAAATCTACACATTATTGATTCGGCAAGTCAGTCAGGGGGTTGCAGCAAAGTTCCTTCCTGTTAGTTACCAAGGCCCGGGAGGGTTGTCGGTGATCTCTCAAGTTGCGAAGCAATCCCCACAGCTTGGACACATCGCCCCCAGCCTTGGCTCATTTGACTGATAAAATCGTGAGCATTGGCCTTTCTTGCAAAGTCCTGGATCTCGTTGTCGGTGATTGGAATACCTTGGAGGTCCAACTCAAACGACTCATGCAAGCCCCAACACTGGGACATTGCTTGAAGCAAGTTTCCCAGGAATGAAGGCCAAAAAGGTGGACATGTCTTGTGGATGATGCCACAAAATGCCCCATACCGACCGCATGAGCAGCAAAAACTCATCAGTGCAATGCAAGCATTGATAATGCTTGCATAATTTTGCCATGCCGCTGACATTGGAGATCTCCTCCCCAGCAACTCTTTTTGGATTGCTCATGCCAAGCAGAATGTTCTCTTTGATGGAGCGTGCAAATAGCACTGGCTCCTATCAGTGAGGATGCGTCGCGATGCGCCAAAGTAAGACGATGCATTACAAATCGCTGTGTCCTTTCCGTCGATTCTGTAATCAACTGAGTCAAACTTTACAACCAATCAACCTCAACCAGTCCTGGCCGACAATGGACACCACTCGGTGGAAATGTGTGTGGGAATATTGCCTGCACAGTAGCTGAAGCACGGCCTTGTGGAACCCTTACGGCCAAACTGGTCTGGAAGGCAGTCCAAACGCCTTCTATGCATGGGACCCTTGCAATCTCCAAGTCCCCAGGCGAGAAGCGAGGAAACAGCAACAAGTACCTAATAGCGATGGCCTCCAACCTAATAGCGAAGCGAGGAAACGCGAGTAATGTTGCTTTAGTAACTTATCTCTGTGAATTGCTATCCTCTACCTACGATGTGTCGTACACGTTCCAATGCTCCACCTGAGAACCTCTGAACACTTCCAACCAAGATGCCAAATTGGAACCCCGTCCAAAAGAATCTCACCAGCCTTGCAGGAGTTCCGCAGTGCAAGAGATTTTTGTCGACATGGACACAAACAACTGATGCAAACACCGGGTATCACAAAGGGTTCGTTGTCAGGGGTCAAGAGTCAAAAGGTCTCATTTCATCTCATTTCTGTGTATTTCAACATTTGGAGCCAGATCTAGCCAAGTGTCACTTGCGTGGTATAGCCGCTTCACCAAACCAATCACCTGGGCCGAAATATTGCAAGCATCCCAAGCGGCATTAAACACCTACACGTATAGCCAGTTGACAATTACTTTAAAGCCAACTAAGCCGAATAGCAAACAACCTGAAAGGTCTGGTAGGTGCCCCTACAATAGGATCTTGTTTGTCGTTCGATTCTTCCGGCTTATATAAGCCGTGAACGATTTCTGACAAGGTGCAGTGCTCTTTCCATTTCCGGAAGGACCCACCAGTGCAACGACTTGACTCGCCGGGATATCCAGGCTCAAGCCGTCTAGGACTTTGACATCCGGTCGGGCGGGATAAGCAAAATGCAAATCTCGCAGTTGCAATGCCCCCACTTGCTCCTGGCAAAAGATTTCCCACTGCTGTTTTCGTTATCTTTGATGTGCAGTTTGCACAGGTCCTTTCTGGCAATCAACAAACTATGTCAGAGGCAAGCTTCGAAGGCAACACAAAATCCTATATTTTAATATATTTTAACTCCGGGTAACACATGAGTGGTTTTCACCAGTATTATTTGTGTTCCTTGTTTGCAGGTGTACGAGCTTCAGTGATTGTTCCGCTTCTGCCTGGTGAGGTTCTAAATCTCCCGAAAGCGGGCAATCTGGTTTCCGCTCGCAAAGCTCAAAGACCCTCACAGCAGCCCCTGCAGCCTGCGGGAGCAGGATAAATTTGCCGCTTGGCTGGTGTAACGATGAGCACTAATTCCTTGTGTCTGGATCATGTTGGTGTAAAAGTCCCCGAGGGTAGAAAAATTGTTGTTCAGAGTCTGCAAATAGAACCTTAAAGGACGAAGGCAAATTCCTTTTAGAAAGAATTGAACACATTCGACGATAACCGTATGTTCGGGATTGACTTTTCAATCTGGAACTACAAAATGTTTAGTCAAAGGATGTGGTGCTTTGAGATCTTACATGCCATAAGAAAGGCCAGATTCGCAATGGAAGGTGTACAGCTTCATCTCCGAGGAGCACAAAGGACAAAAGGCTACTCGCCTCCATTTGCCCTTCACTTGCAAGCTTTCCACCATAGAAAAGCACCACAGCAGTCACAACCTTCAGGACAAAAACAAGGACACCCACGGGACCACATCGACTTATAAGGAGCTGCATCAGCTTGATATGGCCTGTGGCAGCATCATGGTGGAAGTGAGGTAGACCAAGTAAAACATGGCGCGCTTCTTCATTAGCTTCCTGGCCCATTGATGGCATGCACTGTCCATTAAAGTGCAGTCTGGATTGTCACACTCGCACGTGCACACCTGTAAACTCCTATGGCAATCCCAAAGCGCTGCTGCTCAAACGATTCTGCAGCAAAGCTGCGAATCGTGGACCTAGTGTGCTATTCAACCGACACCACTTCTCTGGATCCATTTCTCTCCTTACATCTTTCTCTTTCGCTTCCCTGTTTAAAGGTTGGACATGGTTGGACGTTTTGTTGCTGAGAGTCAGGCATGTTCCCTAATCCTTCATTCGCAACTGCATTGGCGTCGGCAAGGGATTTCTGTGCCTCCTCGCTAATCTGCCGAAAAATGGCACTGTATTTCATAGATATGGCAACCACAGCGGGCACAGACACGAATGCTACGAAGGTCAGAGGCTCGGTGATGGAGAACATAAAGGCCAAGGTCGTGATGATGGACACCAAGGTTCGCAAAAAAACATTCACGTTGAGGTATGCTTGCTCTACAACTTGTTGACAATCTTGTGTCATCCGGGAGGTGAGTTCTCCAATCTGCGTGGTGTCAAAAAAAACATAAAAAAACCAATCTCTTGCTTCATCAGTGTGGCAAAGAGTGTGCAACGAAGCCTTTCAGCCAAACGACCGCCGATCACAATGAAGGTTGCACCACGACAAGAAGAAAACACCGAGGAAGCACCGGCAGCAATCAACAAGCGTATCACCGGACCTTTGTAGGGCCGCTGAGCTAACGTTCCTTGTTCTTCAGCACGAATAATCTGGCTAATTGTCTGGCTGATGTAATGTGGAATGAGGACATCGGCAATGGCAGCTACCATCAAGAAAATGAAGGCTTGAATCAGCAATGGCCATTCTTTGGCCACTAAGCTCAGCAACTTCCAGACCGAGTCCTTCTTTTTCTGTCCTCTCTCGCCTCTCTCCTCAGAGTGTTCCAAAGAGCTTTCCGAAGCACCAGCACGAGCATCTGCACTCAGCAGTTCGACGTCCAAGGGCTGTTGGTGACCACCTCGAAGTGAACATCGCATTCCTGTGAAGTCTTCAATGGCCGGCAAGGTCATGTAGTGCTCGCCAGTACTGCAAACAGAGCCTAATCCGACGAACGCCCAGAAGCCAAGCCCAGAGGAGACCTGTGGAGGGTCACTGACCAATCGAGCCAAGCACACAATTGCCAAGGGCACATAGGCAACGTATGGAAACGCGCCATGCAACAACTTGTCAATGAAGGACATGGAAGAAGACCGTGGTCCATGTTGACATCTGATCAAAATGAGAAGCACAAGCCACACCGCTCTGACTATAGCAAATGCTACTGGGCCATGTAGAGACCAACCAAATGCTGTAGTCGGCTCAGATGGGAGGAGGAAAAGGCCGACCAGGGCAAAAATCACATCGAGAAGTGGCCACAAATATGTACAAAAAGTCCGCATCCAAGTCCATGCGGCCATAGTGACTCATATGGCTCATGTACAAGGTCATGCGGTCAACACAGGTCAAAGCAAGTGAGAATGATCAACATCAAAAGTCAATTCCGTGGTTGTTGAGTTGTTCTCAATTCCGAGAATCGACATGAATCGACTCTTGTAATGTAAAAATTACGTACTGTACTATACAACTATATATATACTATATAACTGTTACTCGTAGTAATATATACTATATAACTGTTACTCGTAGTAAGAATGCTCCTAGTAGCGATGCCGGGAGCCCCTAGTAGCGTCCTTGCTCCTAGTAGTAAGGCCAGGAGCCCCGAGTAGCTTCTTGTTACTGGATGTGACTGGTAGTAAGAAACTATATATGTATCTCCTTTGCCAATCTATGCCAAACATTCAACTTGTCTTGTTCCAACGAAGCTATTGGCTGTGACAGCTGCATGCAGTGATTCTGTGTGAGAGACATGTAAAAAACATGTGGAAGGCTGTCAATGCAAACTTATGTCAAGCAGCTGCAAGGCGCACAAACACTCAAAAAGAATCTGCCAAATGTATATTATATATTGACAAAGTGAATTCTACTTCCCAATGCGCAACCTTACCTGTAGTGGTAACAGGTAACATATTCTGAGTGGAAATCATGGTCAATAGGTTTGACAAGACTGTTGCCAACTCAGCCAAACGCTCGTACGCGCTACAAATGTGGGACATCTCCGCATCAACCCCTGAGCGGCAACGAGGTAGGCGACTTGATGGGAACTGACCACCTTCGAATTGCAGCGGTGAACAAATACATATATAAAACGTGTCAAAGCAAGTGAACATCTTCGTGCTTCAATGCCCAGAGCTCCCCCACTCTCAACGTCCCATCGATCTACACCTACAGTGTGTCCATCAATTAACAGGGTCCAAGATTGTATGATGCCCATGATGAGCAGCTTGCCTTTGATCAACAGCTTTTGCTGGCCTCTGTTCTGAATGCTTTGGAGCGTTGTTGTAAGCCGGTGGCACTCCGCCTGACCGAAAGAACTCCGGAGCCCTGGGCGGAGATCGTTCACACTTCGCCTGCAGCATATAGGTGTAGATGGTCAACCAGCCCAGTAGAGATGCGAGCACCGCAGCAAAAGGCTGTGGCTCTGGACCCTGAGCGTGCGCAGGAGCTAGCAACTAAAATGGGAGAAGGAAGCCCTGCGAACTGCTCTGCGACCTTGCCCTCCAAAGGATGCTTTTTCAACTGAAGCAAGAAGAACATGTCAATCAAAGAATCTTTGCTGCGCTGTCATCTTGGCAAAACAGTCTTCTCACGAACCCATTGTGTGCTTGTATATATTTTTTGTCATACCATGTCATACCTCCTCTTTGATCTACATATTCGCTCCTAGTTCGCAGTCGCTCACAAAAGCTGGACACGGGTTCGTTGTGCACAGGTCGCGACGGTGACTGCAGTGAGGAGAAAAATCAAAGAAGCCAGGCCCAACCTAGAAACCCAAAGTAACATCAAACCAAATAGAGCACAAATCAAGGTAATTATTCTTGACCAACATTCATTTGCTTCAGAATCACTTTTTGCTAGACAACAAGTGCTTCGTGCTGCAAGGTCTTTTGAGGTGTCAACGCCCACAAGCCGACCTCTCTCACCTTGTACTTCTCTGCAAAGCCTAGCTCAATGTCTATGTGCTGGCACCCGTCCGTCTCAGAAGAGTCTACCCTTTGCAAGCTCGAATCACGGATGCACATGGGTTAAAATGCAATGAAACACACAAGTGTTTCTTTTCTTTCACTAAGAGGTTCTTAACATTTTTTTAACTAGCAAGCTTTCCACAGTAGTTGGAATCCACGCTTTCCAAAGACCTCTCAAGGGCAAATTGGCAAACAGGCTGGCTCAACGCTGCAGCTGTTCAATCGCTTCCTGACAATTCCAAGTGGTGATGGTTGAACTCCTTCGAACCAACACGAACCAACTATTGAGATTCACCTGTGCATTCTGTAAATCAGGAAAGGTAGACGATTGAACAAGTCGAGAATTGGTGTGGATCCCAAGTTTTAAGGATATGCATAGAAGGACATTCGCCAAGTTGTACAATATAACTTTGATAATGTAGCGGTCTCTTGGAACCTGCACCCTTCCGTGTCCCGTCAAACGATGTAGACAACCTCAATTCAAATGAATGTGGTCTTTGGTTATTGTAGCTGGGCTGGACTACAATTAGTTTGTGCGCAACAAAGCATTCCGAGCCGAAGTCAAGGCAACAAACCATAGATAGATAGCTAGCGTAGCTAGCTAGCTAGCTGGGTAGGTAGATTGTGTATATCAAACATATCAAACACATCTTGCCATATCCAGCCCATGTCAAAATGCAGGTCCCAGCATTGGCAAAGAACATATCCACAGGGACAACCATGAGGCTTTAGGTGTCTGCTCTGTGAAACGCACAAACTATGTCGACTTCAACCTAGACTATGTCAACCAGGAGCAAGGACGCTACTAGGGTCTCCTGGCCGTACTACTAGGCAATAGGACGCGGCAAATAATCGACTCGCAACAGGAGTCAACACCTGGTCGAGACTGGGTCATGGCACCTAAGGACTCATGACAATGGATCCCATGGTGCGGTCGTTTTGAGATGCCATACAGCTGCTTGGGGATGGATCAGTTACTGAACGGAGAATTTAGGCTCTTAAACTCAGTGACTTAGGGTCACAGTCCCAAAGGTTGTAGTTGAAGCTTAGGCACACTTTTAGCTCAAACACGCGTGAGCTCTGGTATCGAAATGAACACAAAAGTAAACCACAAACGGCTGCAGTGAGACATACATCTATACAAGCTATATCATGTACATGTAACTGGTGCTACATCTGATCAGTTACCATGCTACAATAATTTACAGTCTACAAAACACCAATGTGGCTCACAGGCACAGTTGCACAGATGCGTGCGGTCCAAATCAATGGCAAATACACCCACCACAAAGTATGCTGAAGGAAAAGTGCTTTTGATCTCGTGCTGCCAACTGCGTTACAGTAGAAGTGCTCGCTCCTCCCTGCTAAAAGATCTAGCATGCGAAAGCAAGAAGGTGACCCTTCCAAAACCTGAAAGGAAAGGAAAGGAGGAAACAAACAATGTCTTAAGAAAAAAATGAAGAGAAATACAAAAAGAAAGAAACACATGCATGTTTCAATCAAGCTTTTGAGGGTTCATCGAAGCATTCAGCCACCCAAACTTACAAATCGATTTCGTCCGGCTTCTGCTCCTGTACAGCCCTGGTGCTGCAACACCGCCTGCTAAAGCGGTGACATGAACCAAAGTCCGAAAAAGAAGTTGCAGCTTAATAGCGATGGCCTCCAATCTAATAGCTACTTATAGCGTCCTTGCTCCTAGAAGCGATGCCAGGAGCCCCTAGTAGCTTCTTGCTCTTAGTAGAAAAAGGCCAGGAGCCCCCAATAGCTTCTTGTTCCTAATAGCAATGGCCTCCAACCTAAGAGCAATGATGGCCTCAACCTAATAGCAATGGCCTCCAAGTTGTAGCTTAATGAAATAACGTTGTGGCGGTTGTAGCTGGCAAAGAATTTCCGCGATCACACTTAGGCCTTGCCTTCGTGGAGGCGGCGCAGGCCGAGTGAGTGGTGACCTTGAAATGGCTCTGACATATTGGATGATGTTAATATTTTACGTATGTTTGTAGACTTTGTAGACTTGAAACTTGCAGGGCTGGCCCTCTCTGACTGTGGATCCCAGCAATGGCTCCAAGTTTGGACTTGTGAAATGCGAGCTTGGGGAAGCCTGCAAATTGTGATACGCTGATTAAAACAGTTAGTTTCTGGTCCAGGCTACTGCTGCTGACTTCTTTCACATTTAAAACACGATTCAAAACTGCAAGGTTCTACGCTCCTATTTTCGAGCTTAAAAGCGGCTTTCGATCGTATGCTTCTTGTTTTGTGCGTTTCATCCTTTTTGGACGTGCACTCCTCCTTGGTCTTTGCTTCTAGCAATTGACCAACATTCAAAAGCGAGCTCTAGGCTCAAGCCGCATCACGATCCACAGATTTTGCACTGTCGGATCTCAGTCATCGGTCCCGTGACTGCATTGCACCGAGCATCAGTGTGGAAGTTGCCGAGCTGGTCCTCGTAGATGAAGTTCGCCTCCCGAAGGTTCCTCTGACCTCTAGTGGCCCTCTCGCTGGCGCCGGAGTGACCGTCCCCATCAAGGATTGGAGCTGCTCGAACCGCTGCATGGGAGTCAACTCGTACAGCCGACGTCTTTCCACCTCCAAATCCGTCTCTCTTGGGGGTTCATCGACTGTCAATTCCAGCTGACGCTTCACAGACTCCTCGCTCTCTGGCGTTCTGAAGGCCTGCTGCTCCAGCTCACGTTGAAGGTCATGGACCTTGGCTTCCAGGCTCGCCCTCTGGTACTTCATGGCGTCCATGAGCTCTTCCTGCTGAATCTGCAGCTGTTGATTCTCCTGCTTCAACATCGCCAACATGGTCATCATCTCCTGCGGATTCGGCGGGCCAGGGCCGTAGGGATGTAGTTGAACTTGCCATCCTCCTTGATGCGGCATAGGTCCCCTCCTCTCTTCATGGGGCATGATGTACCCAGGTGGGCCAGTTTGTCCAAACCCTCTTGGAACATGTAGACCAACCACCGATTGTTCTCTAGGTTGGGGATGTCGTTGCCCATCGCTGTCACTTTCAGGCTCTTGCACCTCAGGTACTCGTGGTTCTCTAGGTCTTCCACGTCGCTGGTCACCTGGTGCATGATCGCCCATCAGTGCCGGTGATGGCGTCCCCGTCGTTGTACTCGTCTGTGGAAGTGCTCCAGCCGGGCCCTCTTCCTTCGGCAGGAACTGTGGTCTTTCCTTTTTCACCTCTTCCGGAGACCTGTTCCCCAAACCAGGCTGCCAGATGCTTTGCCTCGGGACTTGAGCATAGAGGTGAGGAGCTTGGCTCTGCACTTCATGAAGTTCCCTCAACTGCTCCGGGGTGAAGAGTGGGGTCATCGGTGTCAAGGTCTGAGGCGGTCCCTTCGGGCCTTCCAAGATCTCCTCTTCCAGAGCAAGCTGCTCTTCTTCCAGCTGCCGCTCTTGTAGTTGGAGGTGTCCCTGATCGTCAGGGTCATCTTCTCCCCCTTCTCCAGGCACCTGCCGTCGGCGCCTCGCCATGACCGACATGGCTTCACTTGCGCAGGGCGGCCCAGCGATCAACCTCCTCTAGCCGGGTCTTACGCCTTCCACCTTGAGCTCATAACCTGCAAGGTTCTACGCTCCTATTTTCGAGCTTAAAAGCGGCTTTCGATCGTATGCTTCTTGTTTTGTGCGTTTCATCCTTTTTGGACGTGCAAAAACAATACAAAACACGTCGACCACGCCTGGGCAGCATGTGCTGCTGCAGCCACTGCCTGTCGTGCTCGATGCTCTGAAGAGGCCACGCCTGAGACTTTCAGAAAGGAACAACAAATAACAAACAGGCATCGTTAAAGCACAAATTGAACGCTAAGTCTGAGCCACCCAAGCTCATCTTTGTGTCGAGATGGTCAAGGTTCGAGCGTTTTGAGGGTGTCACCTGCTGGGCATTTCCAAGGACTGCTCTGTGCAATTAATTTTGCACTTGAGACATCAAGAGCAAATGATATCATTTTATCTTCTTCGATTGGCGATGCTTCGCATGCCCTCCATGTCTAGCAGACATGACAATGACAAGTTCCTTTGGAACGAGTCCGGCCGATGCTGGATGCATTACCACGCACAACTCCAGAAGTCAAAGTGGTGCATTGATCAGCTTTGCTCCTGGACTATGCGTTCACTAACAAGCGAAGCCCGCCGCTTCATGTTGGCATAATTTGCTATGTACAAACTGAGCCCTACTTAGACTCCGTCTTCATCTGGTTGATTTATCTGCAATTTGCCCTTTCTCTGGCTTTTGGGCAATCCAGGAGCGACCTCAACATCAAACATGACTGACTACAGCGACTGCTAGTGACAGCTAGTGGATGTTGAATTGTAAGTTGAGATAATTTGAGTTTATCTTTGTTCAACTAAAAGACCTGAGTTCTCAAGTGCTTAGTGCTTTCCATTCTGGTCAAAAGCATTCATTCTTCTGTGAGTCGGACTTTTAGATTGCAAAGGAGCTGCTTCTGCAGCTACAGCAACTGCCTACATGTGGCGGGGTCTCTTTGGTGGACACACGAGCAATTCAGGTTCAATCCAGCAAACAGCTTCTTTGAAGAGGCCATAAGGAACCCAAGGCGCATAAATATAGAAACATGATACGCATACTTCCGAAACGCGTCGACAAGTTTCAACTACAAGGGTTTTCCAAAACTTCTGTTCTGAGGCGGGAGAAGTTTCTAACTAAAGTCCTTCTCTGTTCAGTTGTTCTGAAGGGTCTAAGAGAATTGAAAGGAAAAGGGAAGGAAAATGAAGGAAGAAATATTATGAACAAATGAATATCCCTTTAAAGGCCCCTTATGTTTTCATCTCAAGCCGACACGAGCAGATTCCCGGCCACCAACGAGCTTCGTCGATAAGGGCCCTTACCTTCCAGGCCTTGTTCCTACTTTGATACGCTTTGCTACCTATCACTACTTGCCTACTTCCTTGCTCCTAGTAGTAAGGCCAGGAGCCCCTAGTAGTAGCGATGCCAGGAGCCCCTAGTAGCGTCCTTGCTCCTTAAGCCTACCTTCCCATTGTAAAGACCGCGTCTTTGTTCGATTTGCAGATTTGCCTCGCCAATATCTCGGTCCATGGCTTCAAAGACAGCATCCTTCTTCCTTGCTGCACTAGCTGCATCCTGCGGTGTCCTGAGAAGGGAACACAAATGACGACTCAAATATCTCCAAACATTTCTACAAAAAGCGTATTCAAGCATTGCCAATGATGTCTTTCTTAGCATTCTTAACCGGGAAAACATATTGCACTTGAAGGCATGTTCCCCTTTCGGACGATCAGTTTCCATGCTTGACCCAGGTAAACGCGAGCCTCTCTACCTCTTCGGCCGCTTCAATGGCCAATCGAAGCAACTCTGGTTCGTCTCCCTCCTCTGGTTCCACCTCGTCAGAAACAACATGAAACGACTGTTTGCAGAATGAACAGAATCTTCCCTTAAATGGTTCCCGTCACTTCAGGGACAGACAAACCGCTGCCGGCTTCAAAAAAACATTGATACGAATCACGAGAAATGGTTGTGCCTCGTTCACATCCAATGCCTCAACATCTCTCAATGTTTCTGCCATGTCCTGAAAGGTTCTTAACATTCACTAGCTTCCACAAAATTGCACATTTCACACATGCTGCAAACTGTTTGCAATCGTGAGCAGTTTGAAATGGGTCAATTAGCTAATCGAGCAGTACAATAAATCCACCGAATGCGACCCGAGTCTGCCTCCTACTAACCACATCCATCTTGTCTATCCATATCCTTGCACTGTATGCTTTGTATGATCCATGGATTTAGCAGTCCACATCCTGCCCATCCTCAACTTTCGCTTCTGGATTAGCAGGACCCTCCTTACAAAATGCAGTCGTCAGCATATCTCCATGCGCTTGTCGAGTCTCTTTGTGCAGCATGCCACTCCCCTGCTCTTTTCTCGATACACATCTCTCATCCACGCATTCTTCGGTCCAAGTCTCCTGTTCACCAGCCATCATGCGCAAGATCTCTTTCACATCATTGGAGTCTGATGAGCCTCAAAAGCGCAGGGTGGTGAGTCATAGTCCTACCTCTTATAGTGAAGCGTGAGACATTTTATCGAACTTCAGAGAACTTGCAGCGGTTTCTGTTTCACCGCATGCCTTCCAAGCAATTGTTCGCAACGTCTTTCGTGGCCTCGCAGTCGTGCCGAAATGTTGGAAGAGCTGCCCGCCACGGCTATGAGTTAACTTCCATGTTTTAGTTCTCAAGTTTCCCTAGACATCTAGGAACACTTTGACATAGCAAAGGGCTCTTCAAATAAGATTCTTCGATTGCTCGTAGTTTCCTTTATACAAATTACGTCTTACTCCCGGCTACCAGTACCATTTCTACCTACCCCTCCTTCACGGCCTTGACCACCCCACCCCAAACAAGAAGAAACACAAAAACAAGAAACACGGAAGATAAATAGACTTAGATAAATAGATAGATAGATAGATTCGGTAGGTCGGCAAAGAGATAGACAGTGACAGATAGGTAGGTAGAAGACAGAAAAACGAACGAGAAGGAAAGAAAGCAAGACGGAAAGAAGCCCATAAAAACAGAAAGACAAAAGAAGGAAAGAACAACGAATGAAGCGAATGAAGGGATAAGTTCAAAGAACAAAGAAAGAGTCTTCCTTCCTGCAAGTCCTGCCTCGTCCAGACTCACCTGGCACTGAGTGACTTTGCTTGAATAATCTCAAGGAGGCTTTTAGCACTTCTGGCTTACAAAAAACAAACACAGCGCAGCTTTTTTTGTGAATCTTTTTGAGAAACGTCAATTTTGCACGTGTGCAAGGCGCAAACATGGCCTCACTCGCGCAATCAAACTCCTTACTGTACCTTTACCCTTGCTTTGTCGTCCTACCCTTTAGCACAGTCTCTTCCTTTTCCAAGGTCATTCAGTGTGTCCAATTCCATGCTAACTAGGCTAACTAGGCCCCATGCTCCAGAACTTTTGCGCTTCCGAGGTGATTTGGAAGGAGGAGAATCAAACCTTGCTGCGGCAAGCGTTCGACAGAAGACAGCCTACATCTTCATCCTTTATTGAATTTAACTAGAGAGAAATAACGGTACCTTGTCTAGATCTGAAACTCCAGCTCTTAGAAAAGATGGCAAAACCAAACTACCTACATTCATCCAAGAGACACGCTATTTTGACGTGAGACCTCTTCCGCTGTCGACTCCCAAGAAGTTGCGGCCTGATTCATGTTGGTTCTTGGCGTTAATGCACTGAAAGAAATATCCATCAACATGTTAACAGCAAAGTGTCCCAAGACATGTTCCACTATATGGAGATATGTTTAGTTTTCTTGACGCTGATGGGTTTGCAAGAGGGAGAGCCTTGTTTGAGGTACTGGAGCAGTGCACCTGCTTGTCTATATCAGGATGGTATGTCCACCGGACGGGCAGATTGTGTATCTAAAAGTTTGGAACATGTAAAGACACTAGGGTTTTTATCTAAATTTATCGTACCCCCTACAGAAAATAGAGAACCGGCAGTGCAAAGTATGGCAAACAGCTTTTTCATGCTTTTTCCATGTTGCCTTCCTTCACTCTATCCTCCTGCATTCCAGCCAACAACCAAACTCTCTCGTCTCGATGCCAACCACTTTAAACGGCCTCAGGTTGACTAGACTCAAAATAAGGATTGACAAAGAAGAGTAGTGTCGAGTCCAGTAGAGTAGATCAAAGGGCCCATATGTACTGTAAGAGTTAAAGCAGGGTGAGCAGTTTACAAAAAGGGGTATGTATTATGTGCAGGAGACTCTGTGTTTGTTAGGTTTTGGCTGAAGAGCTCCAGAACATCTGCATTCACAACAGTCTTTGTATTGTCTCCCACATCTGCTGCACCAACATGCACCAAAATGAGACTAGATAGGAGGGGGGTGGCAAAGTCTATATATTGTATATATAATAGAAGAATTATATGAGTTACAGACCGACTCAAAAATCGACGTCGAACTTGCCTCCTTGGCAGCGGCGCTTCTTTGGCACCATCGACGAAGGACAATCCACAAACAACAAAGCAAACAGAGCACCACGATGCCCTCGGATTCAACAAACGATAGTGAGGTGAGACGATACTGGAACTCTAGTGACTCTAGTGAAACAATACTCTTTAGATCGCTCCTTCATGTCCAACAAAGGCTACAAAATCTCATCATACTCTGTGCAAAATCGTTGTATCACCATGGGAAGCTGAGGAGCTCCTGCGAATGCAGCAACCAGAACGAAAGTTTGCCCGGACACCTCAAATTGCAACGAGATTGTTTGCAAGTGAGGTTTCCACATCTGCAAACTGCAGTGTTCTTTTTGAACTAGACAATTCTTTGCTTTCCTGCTGCGCATCTGTGCAAGTTTGCAACAAATAACTAAGATCGCAGCAAAGCCCCAAAAATCATTTGCACTATCTTTTTCCGTCTCCTTGTCTGCACAGTGCATGGAAGATGGACAAACAATTGGACGCAATGTTTGAAGCGAGAGTCAGTTGCATTTAAGGTGGCAGGGCTTTCTGTGGCACTTGACGTTCCAGTCCTTGGCAACGGCCAGTGTGAAAACAAATATCCAACACAATCACCACAAAGCACCTTGAAATCAAGCATGAACAATTGGGCCTTCGAGCGCCCTGCGTACTAAGCACACCATTGCCGCCGCCAATACCCCAGAAGTCAGTAGCCGCGCTATCAGACTCTGCAACAGCTGAATCAGTGCCTCAAAGAGCTGAAAAAAGAGACGGACAAACAAGAGAGACGTCAGGCATAGAACATGAGTAAGGATTCATTAAGGACCTCAGGAGCAAGTGCAAACGTGGCAAGTTCAGGACGAGAAACTATACTGCAGACAAAGCACATAGAAATCTTGATGGCACCAGCTGTCCCAAGAGGCAACTTAAATTTGCAGTCGCACGAAAACCCGGCAAGCAAGCAGCTGTGCACTGCCTGCCGGCTTGGGGCACAGATTGAAACTGTCGAGCATGAGCAGGGAGCCAAACAATTTGTGCATACAGTAAAAAGAAAAGAAATATTATACAGTATCTACATAAAAGAATCATTGACTACCCTTTAAGGGAGGCCATACCTTTCTTTGCTCTCCTTCCCTTTCCTTAGAAGGACTAAGTCCGAACATTCCTCTCTCCACCAGTCATTGGGCCAACGCGTCCCAACTATATTATACAGTAACTTTAACGGTTTCTTAAAGTTATATATGTACCAGCTATGCGCTCAACTAATAGAGTGAATTTGCATTGCCCCTACTGCACCTTTCATATCGATCCTTTCATCGTTTCTGCCAAGCACCTGGTAGCTGGCACCACAAAGCCTTCAAGGCAACTTGGCTGCTGCGCTTGCGACACGTTTGGTGCAACACAGTCCTGGCTCATTTTCACAGGCACAACCAGTAACAAGGCAAGTATACGTAGTCTATCAGAAGTAATCTAGGCAGCATTTTTGATTGGTACAGTGCCTATTCTTGATAGCTCGGTGTCTAACAATTTCGGATTGCGACCCCTCTCCGGATTGATGCACGAAAAACTGCTAGGCTGCAGGTCTCCACGAATACAGGCGAGCACCTGGCCACAAGCGCTTCCAAAGGACACTTGAGACTCGAGACTCATGTTTGAACGAGAAACCTTTTCGTGTGAAAGCAATCAATTGCTTATTCATAGTGCTGTTTATTCATGCTTGACACTTTTGAACCTGGAAACTGATCCTGAGCTTGTGGTACGTAGATTATGTCCCTTCTCGCATCCATTGCTTGAGACATCTGTTAAATTAGATCCGGATAAGTGAACATTTCCCTGCCGACGATTCTGTGCATTTTCCGCAGCATGCATATTGCTGCATTCATTATTCATTATTGTCGAACCAAATCTGGTGTTCTGTTGCAACGAACAGGACACTTGATATCCTTCTGCAAGCTAGAAGAGTTCGTGGAACTAACTGAGTGTGCATTTCAGCGCAGTTTGGCAAACCTCTGATCGGGTATATTGTTTGTCTATGTTTGCTTTGTTGAGGCTTTGCCGCTCGCCGATGTAACGTCAATGAGTCAATGAGTACAAAGTGGTTCTACAACCAACATGATCGACCACATCAAGGTCCGCCTCTGCGCCTAGAAACTCAAGCACTAGTCACTAGAGTTACTGGAGTCGCTCATTTGCGAGACATCGGGCCACCGTCGTGACATGCTGGAGAAACTCTCACACAAACAACTGTGCAAAAACCAAGTAGTCATGCAGGTGCTTGTGTGCTCTCCAGTATCGATAAAGTGCCAAGGATCTCGCGTTGAGCCAGGCATACTAATAACTATCTTTACATTTCCATGAAGCATACAGCAAGGAGTTCTGCCTCAAGAAGAAAGTCTGGATATTTTCCACTCTGTCTCTGTCTGACTTCTAATTGAAAACACTGTAAACAAGTGCATTCATTCACTGCATTCCTTCGATTCATTCCCCCTTTTCGTTTCCCAGGTCTCCCACATTGTTTGGGTTTGTCGGCTCATCTGGGTGTCCGCACTGGCTCTGAAGACTCCAAACCCACGCGGCATTGAGGTGTGCAAAAGCTGCCTGATGCTATGGACGCCTCGGTCTTCGAAGGTCTGAAGTTGATCTTCACAGCTGAAGAATTATAAGTTAGACTCAGTTAGATTATTTGATCAAGCACAAGTGCTTTCCAGCAACACTAGCCTCATATTCACAGGCTTTCAAGCATTTCCCACAGGCTTCATCTCGCTTTACAATGCAAAAGTTCCCTACCCTTGACTTGTGCCTGAATCCCTTGGCAAGGTAGGTCAGCTGCATCCGGTATGCCTGGCTATAGACACTGAAATCTCCAAGAGCAGAATTCACCTTACCGTCTCGTTGCGAGACCTGCTGTTGCTTCACTAAATCCACTTGGAACTCTTTCCAAACCAAGACAAACAGAAACTGCTGGCCTGTTGGTACTGGGCAGGAGAGTTCTTCTTCATGAGCCTGGTGATATGCACCAGGCACAATCTGATAGATTAATCCCAACACAACTAACTCACTGTTGATGAGATGGTCGTTTGCTTGTCCTCAAGGCAGCTGAAGGTGGATGGGCTCCAGAAGCCCGCAAAGCAACGAAGAGAATCCTAGGCACCAAAAATACGGAAGGGGCAAGAACACAGTAGCGTCCTTGCTACTAGGAGCAAAGGGCATCGCTACTTAGGAGCAAGAACGCTACAGTAGGGGCTCCTGGCCTTACTAGGAGCAAGGACGCTATTTGTTTTTAGTTCTGTTTTGTCAGCTGCCCTGTAGGCCAGTTCTGTCACGCTCCGCTTCATCTGGTGGGTCTCTGTTCAATGTCCACTCTTGGGCTTCAATGAAGGCGACGCATCTGTTCCCGACATGCGCCAGAAACAAAGGAAACGTCCAAATGCTTGTCTGTTGTACTTATCATTGGTTTCAGGCGTGTGTCCGATCCAAACGCCGAAAGCCTTGCATCATATTGGCAATCACTTGTGGACAAATATATGAAGATACGTGAAGTATTCAGTGTGTTTGAAGCATGCCCATTCAAGTCCTGAGAACAGCCAAGGATCTGTGGATGGCAGAAGAGGTGTTAAGCACTTTGTGGAGCAAAGGTCCAAAGAAGATGTAGTCACCTGACCTTCCTGCAGGTCTGACACGTTAATCCCAATCTGCTCCCATCACTGCTAGAAGCGAATCTTCATGAGTCCTTTAGCTTTGCAAGTCAACTCGTTACTTCTTTTCAACTACGCGCAGATCTGAGATCTGATAATAACACTGAAAGGTCGGATCCTGGCACGGCACTGGCGGCGCGTCTGGCCTCATGTCTTAACTCTGAAAAAAGGATCGTACTGATTTCTTCCAAAACATCTTCCAAAACTGGATTCTTGCGGTTTCAACATCTTTCCAATCTTCTCTGGCAAGCCCTATCTTAGAAAGTGGCGGAGAAGGTGGAAGCCGGCAAGGCCTATTTCTGTTCATTGAGATCTCTTGCATGGCCTGAGACATGAGACATCAAAACGTACGGTGAATTAACACCAATAGCAATGGCCTCCAACCTAAGAGCGATGACCTCCAACCTAATAGCCTGAGTCTCTTGCCTGCTCTAGTTCTGTGTTTCTTTTCCGTGTCCCAGTGTCCCACGGTGTGTTAACTTGTGTTGCTGTGTCTCACTGAAGTGAACCGTATTCGCCTCGATGAAGTGCACTTGCTCCAAAGATTTTGACCATGCCTTCGCAGTCTTGGCAGTGAAATCTAATCGACAATGCTTGCTTTTCAGGCTGAGCTGCTTTTAGACTTGTTATGACTTATTGCTATTCTATTTCACGCAGCTAAAGCCCGGGAAGACTCTCAAAAATTAAAGAGTGCAAGTGTTATGCAGCTTCTCGATCTTTCTCAAATATTCTTTGGCTTCTTTGGTCTGCAGTAACCAAAGCTGCGAACATTTGGGTATTGCGTTTGCAACACACTTCAAAGCGGAGCTTCCCGACACGAGAAGCTTCGTTCAAAAACGCTGCCGTGTCTTCCGCCTGCTTGGCCTCAGGGGTGCCCAGGCGCAAAGCATTGAACCGTAGCTCTGCCCACACGGGTGGTGTCGGTACCGTGAAGGCCACACTAAAGCCATGCCTTGGTCGGGAGACTCAGTCGCCCAAGGAAAAAGTGAAAACAAACATTCCCTGAGGAAAATGAAGAAGTGAAAACATGTGAAAACAAAAATCCAGGACAAAAAGACGTTCCTTAACAAAGTGTAGGTGATTCAACATGCCTCAAATATCTAATTAATCTGAAGCTGCCACATAGGAATGGGCAAACGACTTCTTTCCGTCGACATGGTGACTTCTTGAAGTACTGAAGTTGGTCCCAACTGCTTCTCAAGAGTTTTCAAATCTCCAAACATCCACTTCCGCACAAGCAACACATACACATGCGCATCCACTCTTGCAGCATCTATGCTCAACTGTCCCAGTGGCCCAGCGATCCTTTCTTCGAGAATGATTCTTGATCAAGATAGGTCTTTTTCAAAAATCAGAGCTTGCCAACACCCAAAAAGGCAGGCTCACAGGTTGTCTCAAATGATCACTTTATGTTGGAAAGGACTGACCACCTGCAACTCCTTTGTTATTGAGGATACAGTAATCTACTCTATTCCGAAGTGGAGGCGACTCAGGAAATGCTCAGCTGGGCACGTTGGAGTTGCGCTCTCCGCTAGGCGGCGTTGTGTGGGCAGCTGCGGAAGTAGAGCTAGGAGGTGCAGGTCACCAGGCAGCAGCTTCAGCATCTGGAAAAAGTCATGCAGCAACAAGCGTTTGAAGTGTTCCTTGTACTCTGGTCTTCATTTTTTTGCATCTGAAGAATGACGGTAGATACTACATGTGCCATGAGAGGGGCCTCCACCAACGCTTCTCTGAGGGGCTGTTGAAGCGCCTCGCTCGCACAAAGCAATGAGACCTGCAGCAGTCTATGTCAACCAACAAATTCTGCGCGTTCTTTCCTTCTTTGTCTTTGTAGACCTTTTTGACCTTTGGTTTCAAACCATCATGATGATCCCATGGCAAGGACTTCTTGCGCCATCAATCACTCAGAATATCAAGAAGTAGACATGGCTCACCCAACGGCACCTCTGACAGAGTCAAGCCTGCAGTAAGTGCCTGGAAGAGAGTGAAATGAGGCCTACTTGGATTGTACAGACAATAGTCCAGGCGACATGAATATTGAGTTCACATGTTTAGCGTCTATTTCACATTGATCAGGGAGCGTCTCTAAAATTTGTGCCTCAAAGGTAAAAGAGCCGTTCAGGGCCACCTGCAAAAAAAGCACTGCCAACGCTGTGGGACTTTCAAACAAAGTTGCTGAGGGTAGCACTGAGCTTCTCGGAGCTATGGATGGATCAAACCTTGCTTGCCGTGATGCTGTCCGAATTCCGAATACATTGCCCTCCAACCTAATATATATCTATTAGATATATACTTTTATAAGTACATTTATTAGACCTTTCTTCCTTCAGATTTTTCTTTGTTTCTAACAGCGATGACCTCCAACCTAGAAGCGATGACCTCCAACCTACTAGCGATGGCGTCCAGCCTAGCGGTGATGGTCTCCAACCAGTAGCGATGTCTAGATCTTGTTAGTCATTACATTGTCTTTGCAACAGTCTGCGTCGTTGCCAAGTTAACTCTTGACAAGGCACACGATATCTCCGAAAATGCCTTCCTGCAGCTCAGTGTTGCTCACCTCCACCAGAATGTCAACACGTCGATGAAGGAGTTGTTGTGTCATGTCACGTATACCCTCAGCTAGTATCGACTTATTTTCTGAAAGCTCTGTTCCTCCATGGTGACAAGGCTTACTCAGTTCATGCTACTCCCTGGATGCATCAAAGTATGTTTGATATGTTTGACTGTGGTGGATAATACCTGACGATTATATCTGAACTAAACATTGTTACCGTTAACTGTAGAATAATACATTGCGTGACGCGAACAATCTCTCAAACGTCCCCTTCCATCGGTCTCTGTGCTGCACGCCGTTGACACACTGCCACTATTCACCATGCTGGGAGCAGGGGCTGCCGTCACAGTACCACCGCCCTCAGAACACAACTGGACGTTTGATGTCTGTGACTCTTTCCTCTGTGTTTTTCATTGTTTCTTTATCTTCTTTCTGCTTGCCTCTACTTGTGGCTTGTTACCGGCTGCTTCTCTTCTTTCCACCTTTACATTGTTTCGCCATTGCCTTTCTGCCGAGGAACACTCACTGATTGGCCACCCGTCACCTGGGTTGAAGCCAAGCAGGCCAGAGGTTGGGGCTTGCATTGGTGTTTGCATGAGCCAAACCCAGGCATAGGTCTAGGTTTTGGTATTATGGATGAACAACTCTGCTAATTGTGTTCAAACATGAACGAATTGCAAACATGCTCCGCGTTCTTGGGTATGTTTGATGTCATCTTTCACGCTTCTGTTTCTTGATGTCAGGCTTGTATCATTCGAGTTCTCCATTTTATGAGAGACGGGTCCAAGTCACGGTCACTGTCAAGGTGGTAGGTTGCACGCAAGTGAATGTTGTCGGCTGAAGGGTACCTCAACAGTGCTGAAAAGTCCTGACTCCAAGGAAACGCAAAAAGATCTTGTGCTACTAGTACCAAAAAGCTACTAGGGGCTCCTGGCCTTACTACTAGAAACAAGAAGC